CCACAAAGCTGCCTCCCCTTTTTTTTTTTTTTTTTTTTTTTCTGCTGCTGCTGCTCATCCTTCTCTCCTGCCTGCTCTCTGGAGGGCAGCCTCAATCTAATACAACTGTGTCAGGAAGTGTGGGGATGCAAAGTGCTGATGAGCCAAAAGTAGCCCACCTCTGCAGTGTGCTGCTTCGTCCCAACACACACCAGTCTGATTAGGGAAGCACACCGTGAACCTATGTTCACATCCCCGTGCAACCTTATGGCACATGCTCTGCAGAAACAGATTAAATATGTTTCTGTTGTTGGGGAAATGTGACGAGCTCCGTTCCAACTGTTCTGCTTTAGGAAAAATATTGGAGGGGAGGAAAAAACAACAAGATTTTATCATGTACTGTGTGTTTAATAAAGGATTATCCACCAAAATGTACTGCACATTGTAAGCTGCCAAGATTTGTTAAGTGGCAACTATCTTATTCTTCTTCTAAACCTTGCTTGTGTAGATTGTTTTTCCAGATAGAAGTTCAGTTATAATTGCTTGTTGTTGTTGTCTCGGTGCACCCCTCAATTGTATGCCTTTTATGCTCACTGCTATGTGAATCTTTTCTTTAAATTAAATCTATGTTATGTGCAGCTTAAAGCCAAAAAACTGAAGTAAAAATGCAAAATTGTCAGCCTTCTCTCCTATTGGTAGTGTATAATCATGGGTATCCTGGAACATTTTTTGTTGTTTCGTAGCACCAAATACATTGCGCAAATGTTCCTTTTCCCTGAGATATGCTGAGTAAAAACAAAACCTAACAAACATAGTTTTTTAAAAAATGACCGTGCCATTCCCCCTGACCTGATTCGACTATAAATTGTCTTGTGAATGCGCGTACTGAGTTACAGCCTTAGCCATTAAATAATTAACATTTTCAAATGGTCTGTGATGTTTTTGGCCACACTGTCGTTGTTTACAGCTTCAGACAGCTCGTACAAATTTTGTAATTCAACTGAGCTGTCCACACTTCTGAAAGTGGATGAGCTCTGTATGACAGCTGATCACTGGCACTGGTTTGAGGGCTCTTGTTTCTTATCTGGCAATAAGTGAGCTGAAATCCCCTCTTGCAACAGTACGAAACCTGCAGAACCGCATAAATATTATGTCTCCCTAGGAACACAATAGTCATATTTATTCCTTTATTTTGGGGCTGTTTTTTCCATGTCAAATGCCGAGAGGGAGGTCTCTTAACTCTCTCTGGAGCAGATTGCAACATGTTTTAGGGCTCTGGTGAATAGATTAAAGGCTGGCGAGCCGGATCTTTTGTTGAGCCACACTCAGACTCACGCAGACATGAAACCTTCGAACAACTCTCAAACCTATACCCTTCGAGCATGTAGGGTTCTGAGGGCTGTGCCGCTATACTGACAGATGGTACCAAGAGGCTTGGTGTTGCGTCCCTGTGATGGCTCACCCGGAGCCCCATCCACAGTGCTCAGCATCACCACACTGCTCAGCTTGACACACAAGCCACCAGCCTTCCAGCTCCCATGAATAGATAGCCTCTGTTGACACGGCCAAGGTCAGGTTCCTCTCTGCCACAGTCAAGGGGCGTCAATATGCACCATTGAAAAGATTATGTTCGGAATTGAAATCTTTTTTTTTTTCTCATTCGTGGAGCCTGTATTTAATTTGTTTTCTGTGAAATTCTGTGTCCACAAGTTGGTCAGTCATAAGATGGATGGATAAAGTGGCTTCCTGTCTGTCCATGTTAAAATCCTTAAAATAACTGCATATGTGTGTTCTTGTCTTTTTCTTGTAGCTTTGAGAACTTCTGAGGAGATTTTCCATCCTCTAGAAAAGCATCATGTTGGTCAGGGTGTCCTTAAATGAACATTCTGCTCACGACTAACCCAGACGTCGACAGCGGGTGTAATACATTTTGTCAACACGGAAAAATAAATGAAATCAAGTACGAGCTCGTCTCTGAGTTGATCAGTATATAATACATATGTTTGAGCCTCTCATGCAGCAGGAGTCACTTTCAAAGTGATTCAGAGCTTCTGAGCTCATTAAATGTTAATCAAAAAATCTATTTTCAGATCACTCGGAGATCAGTCATGAGGATTTCAGGCCAGATAGGAGGCCACTGCTTCTGAGTAGTGAGAGCTGACAGAACAGGATGGTCCTTTTTTTTTTGTGTGTTGGAAATGTTCTAAAAACACAGTGTTTTGGCTTGGATTATAGGGAGTTTTCACCCGAATGAAGCATAGTATCGGGATACACACCATGCGGGGAGATCTGCCCTTGAGAAAATCTCAACTGCACAAAGACTTGGAGTGGCTTCATCTTTGAATTCTGAATTGAGATCTGCTCTTGACCACGGTCCATTTTTTAAATGGCACAGAGGCAGCAGTGAGGCAACCCTGTCTCACAATAGCTTTTTGCAACACATGCACTGTCCTTTCCATTATTCATGATGTGTTTTCACAGACAGTGCCTTGAACCATGAGGAGTACTCCTGTCTGTCTTCTCCAGAAAGAGCCCTGTGGAATGAGAGAACGTGTGCGTGAGCTGCACACACTAGAAGGCCTGTTTTCATCGGCGTTTGGAGAAAAACAGATGTCCGCTAATGCTCAACAGTGTGGTTCTTCAGTGAACATGGCAAAAGTTCATACTGTAGATGAACTTTAACTGGAGCAGTTTAAAATTGTGTGCGTCTCTGTAATTCTCCGTATTAACTCTGCATCAAACAGCCAGACTGTCTTTGCGTCAGCTGATAAGATTTCTTCCTCTCTAGTCTATATTAAGAACTGTTTTTATTCAGGCTTACTTTTGTGGATTCAAGTCGTTGCTTTTATTTTTGTAGTCATTGCTTAAAGTTTAGCATTTTATAGTCTTTAAATACACAAATCTGTTTTTATAAGAGTAGAAACGTGCTGTTAAGTACACTTACTGGAACAGCTTATGTGCTTTACTTGTTTTTGAACCCATTATGTGCAAGTATTATGTTTTTTTTCCATCTGTTGTTTAACATCAGTATTAATAGTTTTATAATGACTTCTTCCCCTTCAGTTATTTACATTAATTTCCACATTTCCTCTCTCAAATAACTCGAGTTACATAACACAAAACACAGAGCAATCGATCACTTTGTTTTTTTAAATGTGGATTTCTAAGTTCCCCGGGTCAGGATTGGCCCCCAAATTACTTGTGATATGACAAATCCCGCTTGCAGATACAGGCCTTGAACTCAGAGTTTAGGTGAGCACGGAGAAACTTTCCACCTTCTGCAGATGAATTTTAAAAAGCCTTCCGGTGTCAAACTCTGAACATACATTATTCTGCACAGTGAAGGGCAAACATCCAAGAGAGGTAACAATGACCATAACAGATTTTTTGAGCGGAAGGGCACTTTGAATTTTCAGCTGGCAGGGGGGGTGTCTGTGATACCGCTTTAAAAATGCCTCCAGATGCAGCAATAGACAGTGGCAAGAAATTATTGTAAAAAACCAAATTGTTCACGTTTGATTAACTTCAAAACCCCAGGTCTCTTGTTTTTCCTTCATACCCATCATTATAATGGAACAATTCAGCTGCTTTCAAGTTGATTCTTATCCTCTACTGAAATAAACAGTTTCCCTGGAAAACTGGTTTTGCACTCATGTTTAAGAAAACGCTGAGGATAATAGTTTATGTGAATGTTAAGTGTAACAGTAGGTTAAATGAAAACTCAGTGGCACGATCACAACCGCGTCTTTATTCCTCCGCCGCCGCCGCCATCATCATTACTGTCATCACCCATTCAGTATGTTGAAACACACGCACACTTATTAGCTTAAATACAGGAGGCACGGTGAGTCACAGATATTTGCACCTTGATTAACATGTGTGGATGTATCTCTGAACTATTGTTAGGAGCATTAGCAGAAGTAATACAGACATGAACAGAGTAGAAATGCAGTGAACTGCAGGATTCACTCCAAACCCTCAGGCTATGAATCATCTTAATGTAATGTTTGCCAGCAGGTGGAAATGACTCAAATTTGTTCCCACAGTGAAATATGCAACACACTGATACTCCTCTCCTATGCTCAGGCTGGTGTACAATCAGAGCCATTTTGTTTCCATGCAGGCACCACATTAAAATGTGGTCAGATAATCAGCCATTTTTATGTGTGTACAACAGTGTGAATGAGATTGCCCCTTTGGATAAACAGTGTGCTGCTGACGCATAGGTTCATTGTGCTCACGTGAAAGAATAAACTATTATTTTGTGGACGTGATGATGATATTTATTCCTAAATATATAAATAATGTTGCTTTTGGAACAATGCGGTGCACATTTTGTTCGTTTCAGTTTTATGGAGTGTTGCAGACTGGTTCAAGTTGTGAGTCATGCTTGTGTTCTTATTACCTTAAATGAAGACATGGGCATAGGACAAAAAGGAAATCAGATATCAGCACCAGCATGTTAAGCAGAATCTCAGCCACAAAGGAGAAACTCTGCTATCTAACGAAGCACAATGGAGGAAAATATAATGTATGCAAATGAGAGAAACAGACAAAGACCCTATTCTTCTCTCTGCGGTCTGTCGACTGTATCAGATTCCTAACTATCTTCTCATCCCATCCACTGCGCTCAGACTACATTATATCAAAACACGTTTTCAGTGCCTCATAGCTGCATTGCAAGTGTTTTAAATAAAACGCTATATTAAAGTTTTATGTGTAATCTAAATGTATCTGCTTGGCCTTACAAAGTGGGTGGTTTACGGCAGAAGAAAGCATTTAAGACATCATTGCTGTGACTGTAAAATCAACGGTAAATAAGATTGGTTTCTATTAATACGAGATTCTTCTAGAGTTTAGTTGGTCAAGTTCCCTGCATCTCCCTTAGTGTTAGTTTTTTTCCAAACTGCGTAACAGTTGAGGTCTTTTTTTGGAAAATACTTACAGAGTAAATGATGAAAATGTGGTCTTCTTCTCTTTCGTATCTTCTAAATGTAATTTCATTATGTCGTGTTTTGCAGCTTCAAGGTTCCCTGCGTAGGAAGATTGAGGGCCACGCACCAGGACACACACCGAAGCAGAACGGCCTCTCCTGTGGTTTTCCCGGCTCAGACTTTAAGCGAGTCCGCGTGGACGCTGGTGGTCTGGGACACGGGACCTGCAACCATAACTTAAACCAGCCCCATTCTCTGCAGGGCTCCTCGGCCATGGGCATGCAGAGGAAGAATTACATGATGCCCCACGGATTGGGGTCGGACATATTCAACATGACCCTGAAAGAAATGAAAAAAGAGCCCATGGAGATCCAGTCTTGTGGCCAGTCGAACGCGGAGATGATTTTTGACGAAGGTGGTGGTCAGATTGACCCAGAGCTGCAGGATCTGTTTGATGAGCTGACAAAGTCAGTCCCCCCACTCAATGACCTGGAGTTTGAAAAGATGCTGAAGCAGGATGATACGTTCGGTTTGGATCTAGGTCGGCCGAGCTCAGCAGGAGCAACTGCCAGTCTGTGCTCCCCGATGGAGAAACAGATAAAGACGGAGCACTCGCCAGATTTCGGCCAGGTTCACTGCGGCTCGCCACAGCTGCGACCGGCCTCAGCGGGGCCCTCTTTCACGTTGACCAGCACCTCTTCCACCACCACGTCACAGAAAGCTAACACTCAGGCGGGACACCCCAGAGCCATGCCCTGCTGGCCAGAAATATCCCACGCAGAGCAGCTGAAGCAGATGGCGGCGAACCAGCAGCAGCCGAGCTCTCTTCTCCATCACCACCACCAAACCCCACCTGTGGGACTGACCAGCTGGGCTCCTGCCATGAGCACCCACTCCTCCACCAGCACCTTCCCCCAAGACAAGGTCTCCAGCCCGGCCCCACTCAGCCAGCAGAGGATCGGGTCCCACAGCAAAGGGATCAACAACTGCCTCTTCAAGTCGAACGGCCACAACGGCTCCCATCACTTGGACATGAAGGTTCTCAACACCAAGCCCACGTTGCACTTCAGCCCCAAAGCGCCCCACTCCGCCAGCCAGCCCATGTCCATCATGGCAAATCCGGTGACCAAGACAGAGCCGCAGCAGCAGTCACTGTCGCCGGGCCAGAATCAGCCGCATCCAGCTCACCACTTTCAGAACCAGCAGATCGCCACGTCGGGGGCGCTTTGTCTGCAGCCCAAGTCTGTTCCTGCGGGGCTGCCATTCAGACTGTCACAGCAGCGGCAGGTAAGGATTCTGTCCAAAATTCCTTTGCACATGATTGCTCTCATGCGAAAACGTTATCTGCAAACTTTGCAAAAAATACAAAAGTGAATTGAAGCTCCATGACGGAGCCGTTTTGGACATAGACAGACTTTTAAAATGCTGGAGAGGGGCATGAATTTCAACTCCATTGTAAACAGAATGGAAGTTTTTTTTTAGTATCACATATGATAGCAACAATACAACACAGCTAGTACCATAAAAACTGGCTAATTGTTAAGTTAATGACAACAACCATATATATTGTGCCATGATTTAAACATTTTCCATTGCATACTTTGAATAACTGTCGTGTGCGTTTTCAAGAAAAGCTTCAGCTGTCCTTTTTTTCCTGCTGGAAGTGTAGTGACACGATACAAAGCGCAGTCAGTCTTACTCACTTTATTCGTCTTCACTTGTTTTCCTCAGTTTGCTCGCAGCAGCAGCCAATCTGCTGTCTGGAGCGGCCACAATGCAACACTGTTTGCTTTGGGACTTTTATTGTTATTGTTCTTGTTAATGTCTGTGCCTTTGCTGTTGTGACTCCCTTCAATATGTATTCCCCCTCAAAGTGTTTTGACGATGACACAGATTGCCAGAGCATGGTGGATTAACATGCAGGACTTCTAATTTCTCTGCTTGTCATGGTGGCTCCCCGTCAGGGCACAGATATGCACAGCGGGATTTGCTAATTGGAGGTTGTTAGCTACAAGGGACAAGTGGTGGAAAATGACAGTAATCTGCTTAGCCTGGTGCCGGAGGTTGAATCACTGATTTGTTATGATTGGGGAGATTTAGACTGTCCCCTCTTTCATTTTTGCACCAACAGTATCTGTGGCTGTCTTTGTGTGAAATGATAATGCGAGCCACACAAGAGAGCTCTCATAACCTCTATAGATCAAGGGAAGTGCTTGAGTGACTGGGAGAGAGGGTGGGAGGGAGGGAGGAAGGGAGGGAACTATACAGGCATGGAAGTAAACAAGGTAGGATGACAAATACATCATCACGCAAAACAAGAGACCAGCTTTACCACTACACCAGACAGACGCTTACACCCTCAGCTGTCTTAAAAGTCCCTTTAAAATAGTTTATTTATCAGAAGCTTTTCATAAATGCTTGCAGCAGATATATAAAAAGGATGATTAAATATTCAATAGAGGCAAAAAAAGCAAATTTCTGGCCACCAAATGACCCCATTTCACCACAATCTATAAACACAATATATCATTTAAAATGATCAGAAGTACTCTTTGTGTGAGAATTAGCATTACTGTTAGCATTAAGGATAACAGCATAAGTAATACAATATTTATCGTTGTAAATGTAATGTAGCGTGTTTAAAAGCTGACTTATAAGCAATAGAAGATGGTAATTAGAAAGTACAGCAACGAAGAAGAAGGGGAACGGAGGAAGAGAGCTGGATATCAAATCATGAAAAAAGCCTTAAATGGATTTTGATAAATTATTAACAAAGCAAACTTTTCCAAAGCCCAGAGCTCCTGAAAGTAAAAGCTCGGTCACCTCTGGTCTTTTAAAACACGGAGGATGTGAGGCTTGCGCTGGAGTTCAGGAGGGGTAAAGGTTTTGATGAGGCAACTTTTGTCAAGGACGCTGTTTTTCAACGCGCAGCTCTGTTTGAACAGATAAAATGCGCAAACATGAAACCAGGGAGATGATAGTGTTGGAAATAATCGAGAGCCACACTTATAATTTTAGAACAAGTGTTTAAAAATGCTGATAAGCCTGTTTGCTTTTCGCAGTCAGCATGGACGGGGTTAAAAGTTCAGCTAATGAGGAAGGGACAGCTCGCAGAGAGGAGGAAAAAAGACTGGAGTCTCTTCCCACAGTGAACTGAATTAGTAATGCCAGTGAAATAAAGGTCCTGAAAGAATGCCCTGATCCCCTGTGTAACACTAGCGACGACGAGCAGTGGGCTTCCTCCCACTGACTGAAGCTGAAGACCTTTTTTTTTTTTTTTCCAGGAGCTTTTGTGCTTGTTTGAAGCTTCTTACAATTTAATAATCAGCTGCTGAATACATTTAAATCTGTCACTGTGTAAATCTCTGATTATGAGGTTATGCAAAAAAATTAAATAAAACAACACAGACTTCATCATTTACTTGAAGTATGAACCCATTCTGGGGCAGCACACACTGGAGGACACTAATGCACTATGAGTTAGTGTGGTTGGTGGGCAATGCTATTTCAAGGACAACATTTTGTGTTGCAAGTCCCATCAGTAGTGTAGCTGTGTTATCTTTTAGGTGGCTACATGGGCAGCTTTGGTGTAAAACTGCAGGTCGTTTGTGTTTATAATGATTGAAATGGATTCCTAGTTTTTGCAATTTTGGAAGAGTTATAAATTTCCTTACAATTTTCCAAAAAAAACTGCATGATTTTTATTTTTTATTTTTTTGTGGTAACTAAACATCAAACAGGAAACTAAAGCTAAACAGCTGATTAATTCACATTTTTCTTAATTTAATTTAGCAACATATTATTTTCCACATTCAACAAGCTACATATTAGCATCCTTGTTACATTTATACATTTTATTTTATCGAAATTTATCTATTTAGCATGTAATTATTCTAATCATGAGGAGTCATAAGAACACCTTTGGATTTTTGATCCTCATATAGCAGCATACGTTTGTATTTTTAACTATATGTGCATTCAGAATTACTCTAGCAGACGTTTGACAGGCAGTCCTATCCGAAGGGACGTATCTGTCCACTCAGCATTGAATCCTCTGACAGCAGTTTCATCATCCCAGTGGCTAGCTTCGACTAAAACCAGTTCCTATTTCAATGCTGCACAGGAGATTTGCTTTCTGCAGACGAGAATACTCTCCTTGCTGAAAACGCACAAACCCCGGAGTGCCACAGTATCCGAATGGTTACAGTGCATGCCGTTCATGCTTTCAATCTGGCTGCAGACCTGCGTGGCTCTTCGATCTCTCTCTCTCCCCTTGTTTCCTGTCCGCCTCCCAAAACTCCAAAAGCGGCAAAAAATTCCCTTCCCCCCCCTACCCAAAAAAATAAAAAATCAAAATCGGTGTAGCAGCGGTAAATCAGGACACCTCGACTTTTCTCGATGATCTCGTGGCACCACATCCTTCAGTGAGGATAAGAGCAGGGCCACAGGGGTTGAGCCTACCAGGTCACTCCGGCAGTGCTGTGAAGGGAGTACTTGTTTCCTGGGAAAGGGAGCTGCGGCCAAGTCCAGATGCCGAGGCGCTCCCCAGGGACAGCATCCTGAGACCAGACTGGAGGAAGTGCAGTGTGAGAGCCGGCAAGGCTGGGCCTGGATCACTGTCAGCTGCCTGCACTGCCGCAGGATGGGAGACTAAATCACTCCGCTCCTTCTCTCAAGCCCGAGCCACATGTGGTATTCATTTACAACAAGCTTGTGAAGAATGAGAGCGAGGAGGGGAGGGGGGGGGGTAACATGGAAAACAGCTTTATGACACATCAGGATGACAGAGAGGATTACTCAGTTGTACATGCTAAAACACCCCTCATTGGGCTTTTTTCTTACAACAAAGATGGAACAAGCCCTCTCCAGTTTACCTCTGTGGGTAAAACGTCTCTGATGGTCACAGTTTCTTACAGTCTCCATAAGTGGCTACAATGAATCAAAGCCGGTGACTCTGCTTTCTAGAGTAACGGGAGAAACCGCTGTTTTGATGTTTCAGTCCCTGCGTAACCTCATTGCCATGCTTGGTTTGCTGTGTGGGTTGAACTCAGGCAGAGAAGGCGCATATTAGCGTATGTTAAATGGCTTGTGACTCCTGACGAGTTTAAACTTCCCCTTATTCTCTAATCCTGTGCCGTTAGCTCTCCATATTTCACATGTGTATGTATATGTATACACACACACACACACACACACACACTTTCCCCTCTTTTCTTTCTGTTTTGCTTTGGGGGATCACAAAGTCACCTCCCTGTAGATTCTCTGCGAAGAAGCAGCCCTCTAAGTAATAGCTTCTGCTAAATGCACTGTTGGATTTCTAATCCATTTCACCCTGGGAAACATTTTAAGTCAACACAATGACTGACACTGTATACACAGTGTGTGTTGACTTGGATTTGGTGCACATTAACCTCCTTCATGACTAATGCTCGCACTTGGTTGAAGCTTCGGCACTGTGAGGGTGTCCTTGTGTCCACATGAAAGACGAGTTTTCCTTGGAGTGCACGGATGGTCGGCGCAGCTGCCTAAAAAAGCTCCCAAATATGCAGCGCAAGGACATGTAACATCTCAAACACTCACGACGGTGAAAGCTTATCTGCAGAGCGTACATCGGGGGACAAGACTTCAAACAAAACGCTAGTTTGGACGTCTCAATTAAATCTGAGTGCTGCCGACTACAACATTTTAATCAGCGATAGTGTCAGGAGCCAAATGGGTTTCCAGAGGATGGAACGTCTCCTTGCCAAACACAACACAGTGATCAGTAAAGGAGAGCTTATTAAATGGAGGTAGTCCTGGTGCTGGCGCTTAACTTCCCATCGGCACACATTTCCTGCTGTCTCAGGGATTCTTTCCACTCTCTTTAGACACAATTATCAAGGGAGAGGCAGGCCTTGAGGAGGGCTCGCACTCCCCCTTCCAAAAAAAGCCTCTCTCCAAGTCTCCCTTTTTCATCTGCAGAGGGAGTAGCCTTGACCACATTCTGGAGGTTGAATAGCATCTTTGACACAGATATATGATGTCTTGTAGAGTTTTGCCCTCTAGTGGTCAAACTATTTTGCTGCACAGGTTTGTTTTGTTTTCATAGCACTTTCTCAAGGTCCCAGGCGGAGAGGAAGGGGAAAAAGACACATCTGAAAATGAAATAGTAGCACCACTGACACTAATGTAAAACCATGCTGTGTCTCTTTTATCAAAGGGGGTTTTGACTGGTCCGAGGCTGCCCACTAATGGGAGCTTAGGAGTCATGTCAGCGCAGTCGCAGCCGAGGCCCTCGGCGCCCAACAACCAGCAGAAAGGCCCAGCGAAGGCTCAGGCCATGCAAAGACAGCTGAACCAACAACAGCACAGCATCAGCAACTCGGTAAGCTGCTTTTACATTATGCACATTTCACCAGTGAGTGAACAGGTCAGACTAATCGTATAATTAATGTCAACAACTCTGTCTGTTCTTTCCAGGACAAAGACAACACACACGATCAGTTCAATCGCCATCTGACAAGACCGCCGCCGGATTACAAGCAAACGAGAACCATGATGGGAGTTCAGCAAGGAAACATCTTCACAGGTATTGCATGTTTTTTTAATCATTTTGAAATGCTTTCAGTGCCGACATGTGACCTCATGGTAACTATTTTTCTTGGTGTCTTTTTTAGGTCAGAATTCCTCCCAGTCTGCCAGCAACGGCCCCGAGAACAGCCTGCAGTCCTTAACTTGTCACCTCCCGAGCGGTTCTGCTCCCAAGATGAGCCCTTCGCCGTCAGACCGCAGATTCAGCATTGGGACGGACTGTCACCCGAATCCTTGTATCAGCCAGTTCCAGCAGCAAAACAGCCACAATCGGATTGGACTGAATCAGAGTAAACCTCGGTTCCTGGGGCCAAGCGCTCAGGGAAAGTCCTTTGGGATGAACAGCGTAGCAGGAGTACAACACCAGAGAGCGACAGCTGACTTGCATTCCTCGGGGGTGGCAGGACAGGCTCTGGGAGGCCTGATGACAAATGCCAGCATGGGCTGGGCCTCAGCCAACAAGCAAGTGACAGCTGGACTCGGCGTGAGGCGGCTTCCCAACCCGCTGCAGTCTCAGAGTGCGCAGGACCTGCCCAACCATCCGTACCAGCAGCGGCACATCGGTCCTCCCAACCAGGTGGCACCAGACATCGGGATGCTCCCTCTAAACCCGGCGATGAGAGACACGGGCCCCAGACCGAACCAGGCCATGATGGGCTCTCCGTCAGCGGTGGGGAACCTGAACCAGGCGTCTCCCGAACAGAGGGTACCAGCAGGAAACTTTGCAGAACCAAGCCCCGGCTCGAGCAGCTACCAGAGCAACAGAGCCAACCGTCTGACCTTTGACTTCCTTCCAGAAGGAGACAACACAGTCCCAGGAATCAACGCAGACTCAGACTTCATAGACTCTCTGCTTAAATCCGGCTCTGGGAACGATGACTGGATGAAAGATATAAATTTGGATGAGATTCTGGGGAGTCACTCATGAATTACTAAAAAAAAAACTGACCCGCAGCTCAGAGTTCAGAGGTGGTGTATGTAGAAGGTGGAAGGGAAAACATTTGTACATAATGTTAAAATGGAATTTTATAAACTCATATTATTTGTTATCAAAGTATACTGAAGGGTTTTGTATTGTATTTACTGTGAAAGGAATTTGTGTTCTGTCCTTAGTACTCTGCATATCTGTTCCTGGTATAGTTGCTACGAAGCTGTACGTCAAGCTCTAGTGCTGTTCTATAGGATAAAATACACAATTCTCACTGTGAAAAGAAAACATTGCTGTGTTGCTTTCGACTTCCTCTGAGTTTCTAAATCTGCATCCACTGTTAAGCATGACATGGTATTTACCCTCTACAGTAAACACACACACACACACACACACACACACACACACACACAGAAAATCTTGCCACAACAAGTTTTTATTCCTTTTCGTTCGAGCCTTTTCATCTGTGGTAGTTTTTGATGCAGTTTAAATAATGTAACCATTATTTTTTTTCATGTGATATTTAATAATTATTGGGATAGTAGTTAGGCATTATAATACATGTAATTAATAAAATTTATTTGAATAAAGTGTTGGTTTTGTTTGTTCTCTTCATTAGGAGATGAAAAGTTATTATTGTAAAATGTAATCGACATGTTAATGAGGCTTCCTTGCAGTTTCTTATTGTTATAGGAACTCAGTTTAACACTAATGAAGGATGTACAAACTGTATATCCACATTAAGATGCATTTTATTTTTACGTGGACATTTGTTTTTTAGGCCTCAAC